CAGGCAGCTCGGCAACCCCGCTGCCAGCCCTGGAGCCCGGCCCCGCCCAGCGCCGCCGCCGCCTTCCTCCCAAACTGAGCGCAGTTGGCCCTCCCCGGCCCTGGCCGCTCGCTCCCCCTCCAAAGAGGCTCGGAGCGAGCGCGCACGCGCACTGCCGCCATCTTGGCCCGGGAGATCCGCCAATGGCACGGATACACCAGGGAGGCGTGGCGGTGGGGGCGGGATGAAGCAGAGTAGAGAGGCATGCATTGGACAGAAACCTGACGGGGCGGGAAAGGAGCGCGGCTCAGAGTTAGATTAGCCAATGGAAGCTCCCATTTGACAGCAGGTGGGCGGTGTAGGCGCCCTGGGTCTTGAAGTAAGTAGTTGCTGAGGGCAAGAGAAGACTACCACCACCACCACCCCCGCCCAACCCCAGAGGTCTAGGTCTGCTAGTACTTAGCTGCTTTTTTTTTTTTTTTTTTAAATGCTTGCACAGCAGGGCTGTCTCCGTCACACACTTTAGAAAGGAAGGAGCTGGGGTGGTGGAACAAATTTATATTCCCAGCACTCTGGAGGCTGAAGCAGGAGGATTGCCATAAATTGGAGGCTAGTCCGGAATACATGGTGAATTTAACGCCAGTCTGAAACCCCTAGAGAGACTCCGTCTCAAAAAAAAAAAAAAAAAAAAAAAAAAAAAAAAAGGAAAAAGCAAAACAAAACAAAAAAGGACGTTAATCAGACCCTCACCGAACAGGCCAGATGTGCCAGCCCAATTAACAGTAGAGAATCATATGCCAGCCAGGTGTGGTGGCGCGCGCCTGTAATCCCAGCGCTCGGGAGGCTGAGGCAGGAGGACTGTTGTCTGAATGAGACCCTGTCTCAAAAAGACCAAAAAAACTGCATAGTGAGACCCTGTCTCAAAAAGACCAAAAAAAAAAGAAAAAGAAAAAAGAAAAAACCAGGAGAGAATCACATGCTAAAGTACAACCCAACTTCAGTCTACCTTGCTTTGCAGAGGGATCTATGGTAGTTACTGAGCGCTTACTGTGTGCTAGGCACAGAGCTGAGTAATCGCTTATTGGTTTATCTCATTTAATCCACCTATCACTTGGAACAGATCTGATTTTCACTTTACAAGAGCATCTACAGTCTTTTAAATGTTTTATCCTCCAGGGGTTTTGTTTTCGTTCTGTTACTGGGGATTTAACCCAGGGACTAATGCCTGCTAAGCTCAGACTTTACCACTGAGCTTCGTCCCCAGTTCTGGGATGGTTGAAAGACCTCTTTAGAGACAAGAATGCAGCCTGTTTTATTTACTGTAGATTCTCTGTGTGCCAGACACGTCCTAAAAAGCCATCCTTTATTGGATGGATTGTTAGGAAAATGGTTTAGCCAAGATCAGCAGTTAGGGCTGGCATGGGGCACGTGCCTGTGACCCCAACACTTGGGAAGCCAAAGCAGGTAGATTGTCAAGTTTGAGGCCAGCCAGGGTTGCATAATGAGTTCAAGGCCAGCCTGAACTACATAATGAGACTCTGTCTCAAAAAAAAAAAAAATCAGTGGTTAGAAAATGTCTGGTAAGAATTAGACTGTAGAGCCAGGCATGGTGCATGCACCTGTAATCCCAACACTCTAAGAGGCTGAGGCAGAAGGATCATAAATTCGAGGCCATGCTGGGAAATTTAAGAAGGTCCTGTGTTATGGCTTGTATCTAGATATCCCCCAAAGCCTCATGCATTCATAGGTGGGACTTTTCCAAGGTGGCTGGATCTAGGGTGTGTGAATATGAGTCAAGGGTATGTGATTACTAAATTAGTTCACTGATTGGTTAAGCATAGTTCTGGGTGTAGATAACAGGAAGGCCCACCCTGGGTGTGGGTGGCACCATCCCATAGGCTCTACTCTGGATGGACTACAAAGGGAGAGAGGAAAGGCAGGCTTACTTTTTTGTGCCTACCCTGCCATGGACTGTTTCTCCTCTGCCAAGCCCTTGTGCCATGCCACCCTGCCTTGGAGCCAGCCAACTATGGACTGAAACCTCTACAAACTCTGAGCTAAACCTCCTCTCCTTTAATTTGTGGGTGTCAGGTATTTTGTCCCAGCAGGAAAAAGTAACCAAGACAGCCTGTCTCAAAACTGTAAAGGGGAGGGACTGGCGACATAGCTCAGTGGTAGAGTGCCACGAGGTTTGGTCCTCAGTGCTGAAATAAAATAGAGCATACTTGTTATAAGACCACACTCCACGACTGCCCTATACTCTCATCCTAACTCAGTAATATCTGAGTTGCTCCAGCCTAGCCCACAGTGCCAGCTACTTACTGCTTTATAAGTGGTACAAAACGCAGGAACTTTGTTCCTTAATGTAACCTAACAGTGAAACACTTGTACACACAGGACTTGCAATTTCCTGTGAGCAATTCTGACCTAAGCTGTTTTGTAGAAAGCAGTAAGCATTCTGGAAGGGCATTACATATTCCTGATTTCTGTAAAAGCATATTCCCAAGTGATTGTAACAGTGATCCAAAGTGACAGTGAGATAGATTTGCAATAGCTCTGTACTCTGAACTTTGTTTCCTGTTTTAAAATATTGTGAAAATATTTGAGTGGTGTTTTCTTGTGGTATCTTCTTTAGAAACAGATAACCATTCTCTTCTGGCCATAATTTATTTAGAGAAAGATTTGCTTTCTGTGTACCATTTGTCTTATCTACAAAAGCTAACAACATACTGCCAAGCATGGTGGCACATGTCTGTGCTGTGATCCCAGCCCTCAGGAGGCTGAGGCAGGAGGATCATAAATTGGAGGCCAACCTGGACTGCACAGTGAGAGCCTACCTCAAAAAAAAAAAAACCCAAAGCTAATTTTAAGATGTAATAAATCTGTTGGGGAGTGTGCTACCACCATTTTAACCAGTCCAATGCTTAAATAGAGGATGACCAAAAATTGCATATTTTATTTTATTAATTTTTATGAGATAATGTAACAGGAAATATATAACTGACAATTTTATCAAACTTATTCAATACAAGAATCAACGGGTTGAAATGACACCTGGCTGTGTGACACTCGGGATAGTAGGTAAACAAATGCACTGCTTGAGGTAAACTGTTACATGGCTAAAGACCAGATATCTCTTGGGTAAATTAAGCAGGGTCGGTCTATCGTCTAACTGACCCAGAAGACATCAATGCAGAGTGAGCCGCGAGGACCTCTTCTGGGACAGGTGGAGGTGTTAGTACCCAGATTCTCACCTTGAGAGTCTCACAGTTGAGTGAGGTCACTTAAGGTCCAAGTAAGCATCGAGTCAGTGCCTGGGAAAGCTTAACTATTTGGTTTCAACCCCTGCGTGGTGAGAAGCCGGGGAACCCATGCACATAAGTCATGGATGGCACCACATGGCTGTTCAGATAACTCCCTAAACTTTGGCTGAACAAACTAACTTTTAAGACAGGGTCTCACTATATAATCTGGGCTGTCGTTGAATTCACCATCCTCCTGCCTCAGCCTCCTCAGTGGTGGGATTTCAGGCTTGGGTCACCACACAGCAGCCTCTGAACAAACCTCTCCTCTGTCACCATCTGCTCTCCTACATTAACTGAGCACGCACTAAGTCCATTCCTGAAGTCAGGGCCGTGAAGAACAAGATGTGTCTGGCTACTCGGGCATCTCTAGACATCACGCCAAGAGCCCTTCAGGTCAGCTTTCTGGCCTCTCAATTGCAGAAAGTGTAAGGTACGCTTATAGAATAGGAGACTTGTAGGCATACTATAGCAAAAGTTAGAAATCAATTCATAGCCTGTGACTATGCTCATGCTACCTGACGTGTAGATAGCCTTGACGGTCTACTTTTCTTTGATAATGCGCTGGGCCAACTTGACTGTGTCCAGCTTGTGTTTTCCTTAGTTAGAGAAATATATCTTGTTTCCAGTGTGCTTCAGTGACTTCATATCTGGGACAGATATGAAGGACCCATTTAACTCTACTTGCTCCACTCACACCCCCTCCACTCCTTCCCCAAATGTTCTTATGTTAAACAATTCCTTTTAAGTAAACCTGCCTGACAACATATGACATAATTCTTGTATTCCATGTAACCAATCATGTAATAACCTGCTATCACCTTTGTACTTCCCACTCACAAACCCTTTTTTTTTTTTTTTTTTTTTTTTTTTTTTTTTGTCTTTTTGAGACAGGGTCTCACTATGCAGTTCAGGCTGGCCTTGAGCTCGCTTTGTAGCCCAGGCTGGCCTCCAACTTGCAAGGATCCACCTGCCTCAGCCTCCAGAGTGCTGGGATTACAAGGGTGTACCACTACGCCCGGCTTTTTTTCTTTCTTTTTATTTTTGGTTTTGTTTTTGCAAACGCTATTTAAATGGAACTCAAACCTGAGTCTGGGCTGGTGATTTGAGCCTCTGTGTTCCCCAGCCCACTAGCATGCTAAAAGTTGCCTTCTAACTCCTCAGTGCAAAGAGTCTTCCATTTGGTTTGATATTGGCTTTTCTGCAACCCGAAGAATTTTATTCCATCATCCTATACCTCCCCTCTATTCCTGATTTTCTCTTCTGTTCCTTGTATTGACTCTTAGATGGGTGTGGTGTCCCATGCCTGTAATCCCAGCATTCAGGAGACTGAGGCAGGAGGCAGTCACCCTAAGTTTGCTGCCAGCCTGTGAGCCCTTGTCTCAACAAAACAAAGCAACCTTTTTCTTCTAGAATCATTTCCTCCAGGCTTGGGGCACACCTTGTATACGGTGATTTCATTACACTTCTTGCTTAGTTCCATTCTGTTTAAATACTGTGCTGAGTAATAGAAATAACCAGCATGGGATTCCGAGGCCCGCAGAATGTGCAGGCTGACTGCAAGCCCAGGATAAGAGGTCAGCGACTGTTGCAGTCATCATTCCATAAGAAAAACACCTCCCTTCATCCTGAGCTTTGAAAATTGCACTGGCACAGGTAGCACAAAAGTCTTCCAATTCCCTGAACAGTGAGTTTCCTCTCTGAGTGTTCAAATTTTCAAACTGTCCTTTACACAATAAAATCATGAAAGAGCCCTTAAGAAATAAAACCAGGCATTATCTGCACTTTTTCTTGCCCACTTATTGCCTTTCTACTTATTAATGTAACAACTATTCTCAGCAGCTAAA